TTCGCGCTTACAAATAATCCAGGTACAACGAAATTACTCGAAGAGTAACAAATATTATCATCCCATTAATGCACTAATTACTAACGCATAGAATATTGCAATTTAAGTTTAACGATTTTTAAAAAATATTAGAAACAGATAAATATATATACATATATAGCGCGAGATAACATATTTAATTTCAGAAATATATCAGTGAATTTTCTTTATATAGAAATTTTTTCTGTAATATTTTTATCTACTTTTTCAGAACTTGAGATCAATTTTTTTTAGTATCTTTACAATTACATTATGTTTATGGAGAAATTTTCATCTTAAAAGCAAGAGAAACGATGTTATAAAAGTCACGTTCTTTTTTTATCAATGATTTCGTCAACAAACAAATTAGGAATTAGGTAAAATCGTACACAGGCCGAAAAGGCTATCTTTAGCATTTCGCCGGATCAGCTCATTAATGCGTCAACACGATTTTCCCCTCGAGTGGCTTTCTTATTTGTTCCGCCAACATGAAAAACAGAATTTCGTGAGATGAAACCTTATTCTCTTGTTGCACTTAAGAGTAATTTAAGAATCATTTTCATCTAATAATTACATCTAAAAGTTAATCATGGAATTATTACATTATTAAATTATAACTGTAAAAGTGAAGAGTAACGATTTTCTTATAAATCTATGGCATTTATTTGTATGCGAAATTTAAATCAATATAAAAAATAAAAGAATTTGCAGATAATCGTCATCAATTTTTTAAAAATTAATTTTGTTTTATATTTGTAGAATAATGATATATAAATTAATGTTCTCGAGTCCAAATTAAGCTCTCATGTGTGCATATGTGTGTGTGTATATGTCGAGATTATTGCGTATTTTCATTTAATACTTTACGATATAAACTGTCAAATAAATTATCTGCTCGCGGTAATATTCTCTCTTCTTTCGTAGAGATCAACTTTCGCTTGATCGATTAATTGCGTTAGTCGACGAAGATAAAGCGCGACTCCTCCATGAGATGAATTTCGTGAATGCATCGTCACGTTGGAAGTTGCCGATTGGGAAATATAAAATGGGCTTTAACTTTATATTAAATTTATAAAGAAACAATTCATACATAATTTAATTGCCTCATAAACTTTTACGAGAATATCTTAATTTTGATTAATAAAACATCTTGAGAAATACATAATTTAACTTTTTTAAAGTATTAATCTCTTTTAAGTATTAATTTAAAATCTAATTTGATAGAGTGATAAGTTTTAATAGCAATATGTTATTGACATCATTTATATTATTTGTATGCTGTTCTTTTGTAAAGCAAATTGTGGTGATTAATAAGGATGTTACTAGATAGTGTAATATCTGATAGCATAACTGGTTTTTCGAGAGTTTTGTTTTAACAATTTGCCAAGTCTTATTGCTCTTTTCTCTTTAACGTCGATCACGACTCGCGACTGTCGTGAAAGTGTCTAAACACTTACATTGACGCAAAGATCTTTAAGGAAGCAGTGATGAAGTTTGCGTCGATGATGAAATGTAATTACGAGGAATTCTAACGAAGCTGCCGGCTATGCCCTGGGTGAATAGGAAGGGAAACAACGCTTTTAAGATTATAATGAAAACTGCCATAAACTAGTCGTAGACCTTTCCTTGCTGCCGCTCGACTTTGATTTCGTCTTAATTGCGCTTTCAAGTTCTTCTTCATCTTTATTATTCTTGATTTAATTCAGTTGTGCCAATGGTCGCATTGTCAACGCAGTAAGCATATGTTTGCATATTTGCATGAGACATTTCGAACTCTTTTTATATGAAAGCAATACAAAAGCAATATGTAAGTAGCCAAGCTACCTTTACATACATTTTACATATCGATATGTGTTTAAAGATGGGAGATTTCTGATATTATGAGAGCGATAAGAGCGATCGTTATCCTTGAGGCAAATGTAATGTATATATTATATCTAATCTACGTGATTAATAGCAATCTCCGGAAGTAGATAGAGATATTTGCGAGTCGCGCTATCCGCGTTCGGCCTTATGATTCTTGTGAGAAACACAGATATAAAAAAGCGTAGCGCCAAATAGGAGCGCGGGAAGTCATTACGGAAATCGACGGCTACCGTAACGAGGCCATTGCCGGTGTATCTTCTCTCAATTACGTAGGAAATTACCTGCTTTCGCGAGCGTTCTTATCAACGTTATTTCTCCCCTCCGTGCTCACGGTGTACGCGAGGAAATGTTGTGTCGTTAAGCAGAAAGACACTTTTTTGCGGCGATTCTCTAAAGAAGCATATCCGGCAAACGATTAAAAATAGATAGATACTGCTCCGTGGTCATTTTGATAATTCGTGACTTCGAGATTGATGCTTGCGCGTCACGAAATTCCGACTAAAACGTTCTTCGCGCTTCCGTCGCGAAAAATGCAGAGCGCTACGCGTTTTATCGTCTAATCACGAGTGCTGAAATCACGAAACACGATTGCATTATTACGCGCATTACTTCTCACGTTCTCCTGTCCGCGGCATACGCTCGAATAAAAAATCTGTCGAGAGTGCGGCAAGTACATCGCGCCACATACCGCGCGCACGGTGACTTCGATCATCGACCTGTGCATACATCGCGGTTTGGAATGCATCTCCCGTCGCGTAGATGAAGTTGGAATAAATAATCGCAGATTATATAATAAATAAAACATTTAAAGTTTAGTTTCATATACTGAAAATATTTGATTTACGATAGATGATTAGATTTATATTATTTAGTTAATTATTTAATTAATTTTCTTATCTTATATTCAGAATTCTCTTTCTGTTATATTACTTCTGTCATATAAACATCTAACTGGAGATGGAACAACACAGGTATAAACGTTGTTTTTATTACATCGAATGATTCAATGACGTAATACAGTATTATACATTCTCGCGCAAAATCACATCATTATTCGACACGGTTCGAATATTGTAGATAATCATAAATAAATATTCAGAAGCATTGTTTCCCTCTTACAAATATAAGGCATTCCTATTTAAATATCTTGCTTTACCAAGGTTCTGCAATTATAATCGGTTTGTATAAATTAATATTTTATTTATTACACATTGTGACTAATTTGATTTAAATCACCATTAATATCAATATTCGTTGTTTTATATGATAATGATTTAAACATGTTATTTTGAAGGACAAATGAAATTGACGTTACAGTAACCATCCTGTATGGTCATTATTTGCGATTCAATAGCGCTGTTAGTTGTTAGTATTCTTCGCGCACGTTCACAAACGTCACTGCTTTAAAATGCAATCGATACCGTGTGTGCTTGGCGAATGTAAATTGTTTCGATTTACACAGCCAATTGACAAGACTCTCTGAGATAACAGAAAACGTCGGTATCGAGTATTTCAATGTGCAAATGTAACCAGATACACGATTTATTATATTATTATATTATATATTATATTAAAAAATATTATTATATT